TATATATATATATATATATATATATATATATATATATATATATACACACACACACACACACACACACACACACACACACACACATATACATATATATGAATATATGAATATTGACAGCCATGGAACAGAATGAGTTCTTGCCACCTGCAGCAGCATGGAAGAACCTGGAGGGTGTTGTGCTGAGTGGAGTAGATCAGGCAAAGAAAGACAGATACAATGTAATTTTGCTTATATGTGGAATTGAAGAATAAAATTAACAAACTCATAGATACAAAGAACATTTTGATGGTTGTCAGATGGGAGGGGGTTAGGGGTGTGAGTGAAAGAAGGAAAAGGGATTAAGAAGTACAAATTGGTTGTTACAAAGTAACTATGGGAATGTAAGGTATAGCATAAGGGATATAGTCAATAATATTGTAATAACTACATATGGTATCAGATAAGTACCAGATTTGTTGGGGTGATAGATGGGAGGGGGTTGGGGCAGGGTGAAAAAGGTGAAGGGATTAAAAAGTACAAATTGGTAATTATAAAATAGTCATTCAGATATAAAGTACAGCATAGGGACTATCGTCAATAATATGATAATAACTATGTATAGTGTCAGATGGGTACTAGACTAGTCAGAGGGATCACTTCTTAAATTATATAAATGTCTAACCACTATGCTGTACACCTGAAATTAATATAAAAGAATACTGAATGTCTACTGTAATTGAAAAATGTTAAGGGGGGATGGGAAGGAGATTAAGAGTTATAAAACAAATAAGTCATGGGGATGTAATGTACAGCATAGGGAATATAGTCAATAATACTGTGATAGCATAGTACAGTGTCAGAGTAGCTGGACTTATGGTGATCACTTCTTCAGGTATATAAATGTTGAATAACTATGGTGTACCCCTGAAACTAATATAATATTGTATGTTAGCTATATTTTAAAGAAAATTTTAAAAATAAAAATAAAAGAAACATAAAATAACTTACTAAAAAAAGTCCCTTGATGGAGTACATAAGTTTATGGTCTTCGCCTTTCATTGATTTTAGAAATGTTTTATGTTTTATATCCTACAGTCTCTTGGGATCTCAGTGTTGAAACAATAAACAAGTAATTCTGGTTCTCCCATTTCTTTCCTCCTCTTTCTTTATTTGTTCATCAGTCTCTTTATCCTATTTTCATTCATTCTTCCTGGGGTTTTTAATTTCTGAAAGTTGGTTGTTAATCCATTTATTTTTTTATCAAAGTTTTACACGTAAATTGTTTAAAGAATGAAATATTTCTGCAAGGTTTGTGATAACAAATAGCATTTCCTGCCTTCTCTGCGCCCACCACCACCCATCCATGACTCCCTTCATAGAGACAACTACTTTCATCTCATTTTTGTTTTGGTTATTTGGGTTTTTACATCTTTTCTCTAAATACTAGACTCAGATTGCTACTTCTTCAGAATATATATATATATATAGTTGTCTAGCCCCCCAACACACACTCTTTCCATCCATCAGCCTCCCACAATAGTTATATCCTGATTGTAGTTAAATGCTCAATATTTACATTGCCTGAAAGTGTGAAGATCTGGCTGCAGGTATTTTAGAGGGCTGAGAAGAGGAGAAAGGCTCGGGGTCTTAGTATCCAGCATGTATACATTTACCTAATCTCTCTGCTCTCAGTCCGGTCCCTCAACTGTGCTGGCATCCTTCCATGAAAAAAAAATCCTCGCTTTCCATTTCCTCAGGGTGAAACCTTTATTTCTTTCCCAGCCAGAGTGCAGAAGGAACAATGCTCTGGCTGGATGGTGTGGGGGAGATGACCTGGGAAATCTATCACTGAATTCTTATCCTAGGCACTTTCCACTTCCAGTGATGCTGGATGCTCCTAATTCCTTAGCCTTTGATGGGGGATTCTATTTTATAAATTGGGTGAGTTCTTGGCTTTCCTCATTGCCAGTTTAGGAATCTGTTTTCCCGTGTCTGCTAAGTCATTAACACTCTTCGTTTTTGGGGTTTTTTAAAAAAAGATTTTATTGGGGAATTGGGGGAGGGGAACAGCGTTGGGGAATCTGGGAAGGGGAACAGACAAGTTGCTATCCTTTTTTTCTTCAGTCTAGTTGTGGAGGACGTTGCTTCACTGGCCCACGTTGGTATTATCATTGCGCTCTTCCCGGTGAGGCAGTCGCTCGCCAGCCATTGGACGGCAGCTCACGGCAGCTCACGGCAGCTCATGTCAGCTGCAGGCTGCTCACGCTAGCTGCCAGTCACTCACGGTAGCTCATGGCAGCCCACTGCAGCAGGGGCTGCAGCCTACGCCATCGCCGGTGATTCACAGCAGCCCAGCTCCAGGTTGAACTGTTGTTCACCGTTTTAGCTGTAGAGGGCGCAGTGTCACTGGCCCTTATGTGGGATCCGAACCAGGGCCCTGCTGCTCAGAGCTGGCATCCCAAGCCAAAGATTAACCAGCACGCCATTTGGCCGGCCCCCATTACCACTCTTCTGTATGCTTTCCAGTTCTCAAAATTCTATCAATGTTTCATCTTCTCTTCCCCCCATCTTTGTGGGTTTGTACTGTTCTGTAAAATCTGTACTTTTATCGTGGTTTCAGTAGGGAGTAAAGGTAGATGCATGTGATCTGACTGCCTTCTTTATCTGTAAGCTGATTTCTTCATCTGTTTGCAAGTTGTTGTCTTGCAGATATCCTTTCTATGGGGTAGAGATAAGGTTGATTGCTCCTGGGCTGCATTTCCTGCCACTTCCTGCCCATGGTTTATACTCTCCTAAATCCCAGCATCCTCACTTAAAAATATGTATCATATTTTCTAACCATTGCTGAAGCCTCAGGTCTCTAGGTCATAATATCTATAAGTAGTTACTAAACTCAGTTGGGATGTATAGTCTTCTAATATTCTCTGACAAAAAGAAGAAAAAGATCCACTTTGCTTTCTCTTTAGCCCTAGGTTCTGCATTATCAGGGCCTTGAGCTCCCCAAGGAACAAAGAATTGTTTGTGAGTGGGTCTCCATGATCCAGCTGCTCCTATATCAACTTCCTTTTTTCTACTTACGTATAAAAGCTTTAATTGAGTCCAGTATTAAGATTGAGGTCTCCCACACAACTCTTCCCTTTTTTGTCCCCTCAGGTTCCTAAAGGGTCAGTACAGGGAGAGTTTGAGCCTTTGATTCCTGGACACAGCTCTGTACGGTGTCCTTCCCTTCCCTTTCCCGACAGACTGGAGTAGACAGTCTAGACTTAGCCACTAGCCAAGTGAGGCTACTGAGCACTTGAAACATGGTTAGTCTGGATTAAGGTGTGTTGTTAGTGTAAAATAGATGCCAGATTTCTAAGACTTAATCAAAAAAATGGAAAAATATCTCAATTTTTATGTGGATTATATGTATATGGATTATATGTTAATATAGTCAACATATATTGGGTTATATTGGGTTAAATAAAATATATTGTTAAAATTAATTTCACTGGTTTCTTTTTTACTTTTAGTAAACTTAGAACAGTTAGAATTATATATGTGGCTCACAATATATTTCTGCTGGGCAGGGAGGGTCTAGACAGAAACCTGATGGGGGTCTTTTGCTCTCCTTTTAGTATAACAAATACTGAGCAGCAGTTCCCACAGTGAGTTTTCAGGGTTCGTGCCCTAGAACCTTTGACTTTCTACAGACAAAGGATCTCCCAACCCACAGATATCCACAGCTGAAAACAAAGTGGGAGTTAGGGGAGGACGACAAGGACAGCCAGCAACATAGAGACCAAGGGAGACACAGAGGGGAATCTTGGAAAGCCCACTGGCCAAACGGTTCTCCAGGACCACAGGCTTAAAATACAGAAAACCAAAAGAATAGCAAGGATGTTGAAAACATCTCCAACTTATTTAGGTTTACAACCCTTTGCAAACAGCAGCTTCTATCCCCCAGGTTTACTTATGTCTATACCTGGGAATGTTAGGAAAAGAAAGAAGAGACTATTAGTCTTCCTTGTTATCCCAGAGTGGGATGGGGTACCACTTCCTTCCAGCCTCTTTCTACCCTCCTCCGCCCCCTTCTGGGCAGAGTGTTCCTTCTCTCTTCATATTCTTTCATATGTGAATCCTGGATCATTTTAGGACTGCTCATGAGGAAATCAGGGATCAATTGGGAGTTCTGTGTTAGTGTTTCTATTTCAAAAGTAACTCAGATTCGATCTCAGAGAAGTCCTGCTCCAATTTTTTCAGGGTTATTTGTATTGCCTGTTTCCACTTGCCCACCCCTAACTCTAGAAGGAGAAGAGGTCAGCTCAGTCAGTAGCCGGCCACTGAGTCCAGGGACTCAGTCATTCTACCTGGCAACCCCCTTATTATAATCACTAATTCATCATATCCTTATTGCTTTCCTAGATGCAACTGGATCTATTCCAAAAATCCCACCAATTTTTTGAAACAGATTCTTCAGAACTTGTTTTCGTATGTTTATGCAGATCACTTCTGGTGCCATTAAAATCAGATTGAAGGAAGCAGAGTCCACGGAAATGATGATAAACAGTGCTCGTGAGAAATATCGTCCAATAGCCACTCAAGGTTCTGTGATGTACTTTGTTATCGCAAGCCTCTCAGAAATAGATCCTATGTATCAGTATTCATTAAAATATTTTAAACAGGTAAGTGTTGTTGTTGTTGTTAGTGAAATTTATCTCTTAAACTTTCCTTTAACCTCTGTGGAGTTTCTTCTTGCCTCAGACAAGTCATGAGTCTAGTTATCGGGTAAAATCCTTCAGGAGTTTGGGTTCAGATGTCCCGTTCAAGAGCAGCTCCACCTGCCATGTCTGCTAAAGACATACAGTGCCCAGTACATACCGCTCAGAACAGCCTGTTGAGGAAGAAAAGAAAGATTTTCTCTTGGTTTCCTCACCTAACTAACTTGCTTGTTTGCCTTCATGCCTGCCTTCCTTTTTTTCTTTTAAAAGTCACAGCTCCATACTATTTCTTTATACTTTCTCTACAGTAACCCAGCTTCCTTTCCACTGTTAAGAGTTTTCTGTGTTGTCTCAAGTCTCTGACAGCACTGATGCTTAAGCAAATTGGTCTGTATCTTTTTTTGTTTCCAGAACTTTTTATACAATTCTCTCTCCTCCCACCCCTGGCTTTTATTTAGAGGAACTGTACATGCCCTAGTTTCCTTTCCTTTGTTCTTTTTCCACTTTAACCACATTACTGTGAGACTTTCTTGTTTTTTTTTTTATGATCTTTCTACTTGACTTAATTCATATTCATAGTTAAATTTCATCTGATTTCTCGTGAATAGGACATTTTCACCCCTCATCGTCTTTGGGGCAGCATTCCATATCTCCCAAAAGCAAATTCAATATCACAAATCTTTGGCAAGCGATGCCAATTGACCTGCAGATTTCCAGAGGAGAAAGAAAGTTTGCATTACTCGTTACACAGCAAAACTTACCAAGCATCCCCAGGGGTCCCATCCCGAGGGGTCCCCTCCGTTCACCTCCAGAGTTTCTCTCAGCTACTAGTGGCCTCTTCCTTTCAGCCCACTCACACACAGCTTCAATGGCTCAGTTCTCCCACCTACCAGCCCCTACTCCCCTCTTGTCTTTATTGCTCCTTTTTCAGTTTAGCTTACTTTCGCTTCTCTAATCATCTGTGCTCATGCCCATAACACAACTCAACAAAGGCCTCTCCATGTGTGCCACTCACAGTAGAAAACAGTGGAGAATGGTAGATATATCGTGTCTTCCTGCAACACATCTTTGCTCCCTGTTCCATGCCCTGATACCTTTCATCCGTGCTGGCTCTCACACTGGAAGCCAGGCCAGCCTAGGCCTAGTGTTATCAAAACACTGTTCCACACACCTGGGTCCTAAATGGATTTTCACAGCTATTGCCCATCAAACACAGTTCACGCTCCAAAGCCATCCAACCTGCCCCGTCCTATCTCCTGAGCCACACTTCTCACTACTCCTCTGCAGCAGCCATATTAATCATTCACATGGCTGGACTGTAGACAGTGGCCTCTTCATGTGGCTTGCTTCTCACAACATGGCAACTGGGCTCCAAGAGGGCACCTCCCCAAAGAAAACATTCTAAGAAACCAAGGGGAGAGCTGCAGGGCTTCCTCTGACCTAGCCTTGGACGTCATGCATCATCACTTCTGCTGCAATGTCTTGATATATTGAGTCAAGCCTAGCTCAGATTCAGGAGGTGGGGATTTACACCCCACTCCTCAATGGGAGGTGAGGCAAACACTTCACATCAGCTTTATATCCAACACATTTGCTATGCCTCATATGGCGCTTACACCCCATTGTCTTGGGTGGTGGG